ATCTCCGCAACCACTTATCGGATTTGACCGTCGAAAGGCTTGTATGATTGGTGGCGTGGATCATAGCTACACAACGCAATTTATTTTGTGCCAATTGAAGCTCTGCGGGCTGAGATACGGGCGGTGACGTATATAATAAATAACGCCACCGGTGACGTAAATAGAATATTTATTTGATATGGGTGTCCTGGAAGGGACGGGTTTTGCAGACGGGACACTCAAGAGGATATATTGCCACATGACGAGTTGCTCAGGGGTATTGGTATGTCACTCGGGCAAGGCTACCGAATTGCCCGCATGTTCAGAGAGGAGGAAATTGGTGTGGCGGATCTGTATTTCCAGCACGGCAGAAAGCTTTCAAGGCATCCTCGTATATTTATGTGGTGCGGGGTGCCTTTCGGGTCACTGATTGTGTTGCCATCAATCTCATTTGCGGGCCAGGCGTTGATACGGTGGACGGCTCTCTTGTGCCCCCGAGATGTAGACTCAATCCGTTCCGTGCTAGACTTGCAAGAGTGTTGCGATTCATGGATATCCGTAGTGTAGGCCTTGTCCGGTTTGGCTTTGCTGTGTTGCAAGTATTGTGTCTTGTGGTTTCTATTTTATGCGTTTGCTCGGCTGCATCACAGATTGCCATGGCTCAGTTGCAAATTGATAAATGTGTCCGGCCTCCACTCTAATCTCACCACGTGGTGATAGTTTTCTGTCTTTTGTAGATTTTTTTGGTCAATACTTCGGTGATACCCTCTTGGAATCGGAGTCGATACCAAATTCGCGGAGTTGAGAACCGATTCGAACACAGACTCAGTACGACCAAATCGTCTTTGAGCTTGTGCATGCGTCATAACTCGGGGTTTCCCGTATGTATTTGAACGGGTCCTAGACCCACAAACTCTGAACCTCGACGCGGAACGTGCGAGTCTCGTCTTGACGATGTTTGATGGATGATCAAAGTGGAGCCCTGCTATTCGATGCAGGCCCCCAGTGGACATTGTCCGTTTGGGTTCGCCACCGAGGCTCCATTCCGTACAGGCAGATCCTGTTTCAATGTTGGCTCCTTACGATGACGACGTGGTCAAGGGGTCCCAAGTTGTGATTCCGGCGTTATTGCTGGCTTCCCTTTGGGTATTAGGGTTGCTCTGCGGTTCTCTCTCTCCCTCTCCCTCTCTCTCTCTCTCTCTCTCTCTCTCTCTCTCTCTCTCTCTCTCTCGCCCCCTCCCTCCCTCTCTCTCAACGTGGGCGCGAATGATTCAGACTCCTTCCGAAGACGACATGACTGAAGGGTCCCAAAGGTCGTTAACAGCTGGCCTCAACATGACACGCTGGCAACCCTCATCAAGTAGCAAGCTCTGTGCGGGAAACACTCAGGGTTCACGTCTGTCTGGGCCTCGACCCCTGGTCAGCTCTACCTCTCGCAGCGTTGCACGGTCCGCGGCCATGAGAAAGGGGCAAGCCGCCATCACCACGCCGCAAATATGTCCTCTCCCCTTGACTAAGCTAAACACACACGGGTGTGGGGCATGAGGGGGCTGTGAGGCACCGGCCGACTGGGGGATCCCCTACTCGTCTCCTCAGACCTCTCTATCCACTCCGGTGTACACCATGTCGCCCAATAGTTTCTTAATGCCAAAAACAGCTTCCCATGTTGCACAATTGATCGCGCTTTGCAAGTCTTCTTCCTTGGCTTTTCGTGGCGTGCCACTTACTATCCTGGTTCTGCGACCATGCTGTCTTCACAACAAACTCGACAAAACTGGCAATTCATTATTCTCTTGCCTTTTCGTGAGGGTCTCCTTTGCTCATGCATACTATGACTTGGGGAGGGGCTACGGGGTCGGGCGGGGGCGGGACAAATTAAGGTACCGGGCTAGGGCACGGCGGTATTCGGAGGTGCAAGATGGCAGTACATGCCGCGAGGGTGTTCCATACTCGAAGACAGCGGTACGAGTGAGGTTCCTCCTACCGTTCTCCTGTACACCTACCTGCCCGATAGATTTGACACAGTGCGAAGGATAGCTGCTTCCTGCTGGCTATCCTCTGCTGAGCTACTATCTGCAGCAGTCGTTGCAAAGGCGCGAGAATCGTATGACGCCAGCCATTTCAGCTTTATCTCGTTCCCACAGTCTCGCGCACAACGTCACCTTTGTTATTTTTCAGATTCATAGAGCGTTACGCCTTCTTGGATTTGGACTTGGAGCCACGTTTTCCTCCCGCGGATGGTGCTCCTCGCTTGCCGCTTGTGGTGCTAGCACCCGTAGCTGTGGCTGCTTTCTTTTTCGTGGCACCAGCACCAGCACCAGCGGCTGCTCGCTTCTTTCCACGTGCTGCGGTGGATGGGACCTTCGCTTCCGGTGCCGCCTCTGCCATAGCTTTCGCCTTTCCTTTCGGCTTAGCTTGTGCCTTTGCTGCCATCGCTGACTTTGTTGGTGCAGCACGTTGGGCTTTGCTTCGGGTAAACACAAGGAGGCCATCGCCGCATTGCGATCGGTCAAGGCGATAGCCTTCGGCCGAGAATGACTCTAGGTCGGCGACATCCTTGGCTCGGTTGACGACGACGTGGCGAGCAAGCAGCCCTCTGGCTCGCTTCGCGAACACCGAGAGCACTCGCCCATCGTCCTTGAACACGCACGTCACGACTTTTCCTCCTGCGTTTTCGAGCTGCTCGAAGTCCACAGCTTTGGAATACTGGATATAGGAAAACGTGCAGCCAGAAATAAAAAGTCAACACCAAATCCAGCCACATAAGAACACGCCTCAGCGTTTTTTTTGGCGCATGACACCCCAAGGCAAGAAGTTGGAATCGGGAACACGAATCAACCTCGTACGGGGAAGGTACTGAAGGGTAGAATCGTGGGCATCACCTCCGACCATCGGGTGTACAGAATGCGCACCCCGCATGGTACGTTGGAACTAGTTCCACCAAGTGGATATCTGCTGAAACTGGGACTTTTCAGGCGTCTAAAGTGTTGGTTTCACTCGCAGCCCCAAGCATTCGAACATCAAACGAGTCGGAGCTAAAACACAGGAGAGACTCGAATGGTTGGTATGGTGGCAGTGCTTTCATGGTACCGCTGCGCATCGCACTCGAATACACGCCTGCATGAAGCCGCTTAAACGTGGCAAGCAGCAATTTACCTGCACCCAAGACCTTTTCTCTCACCTCCTGCGACGCCACGTTGACGACCAGAAACTCGTCGGTGCCACTCTTGACGGAGCCATCCCCTTGGATGCCTTCAAGGATACATTGCGCAATATTTCCCTTCCAGTACTCATACAGATCTTTCATCCCCGCTACCGCCACCCTTTTCACACAAGGGAAAGATGGGGGAGAGTTGCGAGTTAAGAAATGGTGGTAAAAACTGCAGCGATGATTGACGTGGTAGATCACCCTTCGCCGCAAGCCATATCGAGTCAAGTCGAACGCAACAAGCAGCTCAATGCGAAGGACGATAACAACGCGCACACTGCCACACATCTGATGGAGCTGCAGCACAAAACAACGCAGCTGCATACTCATATGCACGCCACGAGTGAACGACGGCTCAAAGTTCACCCATGAGAATAGCTCACCGCCGGAAACCGTTACAACGCTAGCCCGTGAAGTGCGCACTCGACATCCAAACCCGTAACCCTGCAACTGACTGTTCAAAGACCCCCAACCCCCCACCTCGATCCCATTTCGAGGCGATAGGGCTGAATCAAGTCCGTCGGGCGCAGAACACCATATAGCCCGGACAGCAGCCGTACCGACCTCGCACCAAAAGCCCAGTCCTCCTCCGTAAACGTTGCCGCGTCCATGCCGCGGTATGCCGGCCCGTCGAACGCCAATGCCTGAGGAGAGTAAACACGCTTACGTTGTTGTGCTTTCTTCTTGAAAATGTGTGTTCTGCGTTGTCGACAATCCGGGTAAGAAGTGTCCACTCTTTGAATTACGGTCCAAATTCCACTCTACGAATTACGGCCGAAATCCGACAAAGCAGAACAACAACTCAGAAGGGCAACAATATGAAGAAAGTGTGTGAATACTCTGAGGCATACACGTACCGCCGGACGGGCGACATCTGCCACCAGGTCGACTGCCGTAGACATTTTTTCCACCTCGGACGAGCCCAGGAACTTTTTGAATCGTTCCATGTTCAAGTCGGCAATGTTGTCGCTAATTGACATCAATTTCTTCAGATCTGCCTTCTTCTTCCTTCGCATGACCTGCAAAACCAGATTATCGGCCAGCCACGGGGCAGCTGTAAAGGAGAAATGGCTGTGGTATCATGGAGGGGATGAATGCATGGAACACCTTGCGTCCGAAATAAAAAAACTAGTCTCCCGGGGTGTAGCCGATTCAATTTTTTTCGGTTGTTGAGGGGAACACACGAAAGGGGGCATACCCGCCCTGTTCAGACACAAGATGTGTGTGCGGAAACACGCACGCAGAGCTCCCCGTGCCAGGCGTGACTATGTAGCTAGAAGCTTTGAGTAGTACATAGGACTCCCCTTATAGAAGGGAGTCAAACTGCCTCGTCCTACTGCTGCGAGAAGCCACGAGTGTGCAAGGTTGTATGGATACAGAGAGTCGTGAACTCCCCTTTCTGCCACGACCACGCACTGACCAAGCACCGCTAAACTTTCAAGAGAGGACCGTGACGTTTTCCCTTCAAAATTTATAAGGGATCAACCATGGTTTCGTCGAGTGCGGCTCCAGTATCGTGTCTCCTGCGTTGGACGAAGCGTTGCTCCCTGCACTCTCGCGACTCGCCAAAATCTTGCTTGGATGAGCGCGGCTGCACCTTGTGAGGCGAGGCACCTTGTTCGACCATCACGGGGGTCGAAGAGGATTTCGTCATGTGCGGCTTCATCCATGCTCCCGATCGATCTCTGTCTACAGCAGTAGTCTCCTCAAACCGGTAGGGCCCCGCTACTGCTGGGGTACATGTGATCGTCGTTGTGTTCCACTCATAAGTGGCCAGCGAGGGGCCACTCTTCTACTTACATGTACAAACGTTGCTGAATTACATGAGTTTTGCAGCGAATGTAGCAATCAAAACTGGTGTACTACAGCAGTGTTACATGGCTGGTGCATACCATGGTGGCAGTTACAGAGAGTTGGTAGACTAATACAAGTACACGCTATGGTGTAGACTTGAAGTCTTCATGGCTGCGAGAGGAACGAAAGGACCATTGATACAACAGCTGCAACGCTGCAACGGGTCAATCATTTAGCATACATCCCGTCAATATATCTATCGTGGTATCAGTAGCAGCAAAACAGCACATTGAATGTATGCATCCATTGTATGTAGCCCTGTCCTGCGTGCACAAACCATTCACACCTCGACGACAGGATCTGTCGCCTGGAGCAGCTTCGGTTGGCTCCATAACCCCGACAAAGAGGCTGGCGATGTTGCCCAGTTGAGCGTTTTGGCTGGAGACAGCAAGACGACCACACGCATCGTGTTTATCTTCCAAAACAGTGTTCTCCTCCTTCCCTCTCAATCAGTGGTAGGTGGGACTCAAATGGGCTCGAGTCTCAGCTCTCGCTACCTGAGCTGCTTCTTCCGGCTCAGTCTTTCTTCAACATCCCTCCCGAACCCGATGGAAACCCCTAACCCCCAACGGATTCCCCCCCCCGCCCCCCCAACCAACATCAACCATCCACATCATCACCCGCTCTCATGGGCGGTCTAGGAGCACACCCCAACGCTCTCGTGACATGCATCAACTTAATCACATTCGGCTTATGAAAGTGCCCTCAATGGACGCACGCCTGACGAAATGAAGTTAATTGAATCGAGATCTGCCCGAGAGTTGTATCCATCAAATCCTTGGTCTCGTGGTCTCCACACAACACTGACCCCCATCGAGGTCGCCGCTGCCGCCGGTTTCGCTCCTCCCGAGATTCCACTCAACATCAGAGAGCTTGAATTCCACTCAACATCAGAGAGCTTGAAAAGAAAAAGTATGGGACCACCACAGTGACCCTGACGTCTTGCGTGCTGGACCTGTCTCATCTAGTTCGCCACCGCTAACCATGTTGGTATCTATGCATATTATTGCTTGTTTTCAAAGAGAAGTATTTCATTGTCGAAGGACGACGTGAGCTTTCAACAGCAATAATTGTTCGTTCATGGTGTTTCAGCAGCAGACAATTTGTACATATAGATGCGTTTGATGGTGTGAACGCGGAGGCCAGGGTAGAATAAGGGGTTTCAATTGACGTACCGCAAACCAACCCGCCCTGTACGCTATCCTGACCTCCAGACGGAAGTGGCCAAAAACAGATCTCCGCCACACACTCGGTGGTGGCGGTGCTGCAGTGCAGCGGCGTTTGAAAACTGCCTGGCGGGGTGGCGGGGTGGCGGGGTGCTCCTTCCGAGCAAACCCTCTGGCCACTTCGGAGACGCTAAACTATCTGTGTAGAGCCCCACGGTAAGGTATGATCCCTCAAACTCGTTGTTTTTTCAGATTGCAGTCAAGGAGAATGCGCTTTCGAATGAAAAGTACCAACGTGGTCATCATGTGAACGCCCTCGGTGTCTTCGGCGCAATCCCCTTCATTGATATCTTTTCGGCAAAAATATATCTTTGAGGTAGTTTCCTTTCGAAGAGGCTGTGGCAATTATTGCCTCAGGCGGAAGCCAAATGGTGCGCGTATTGACCTCGTAGCAGGCCCTCAAGACCTTCACCACGTGCTACGTATCGAAAAACAAAAATAAACATGAGTGCTTGCTACTGCCTTGCTCTCGTTGTAGACCGAACACCACGGGCGGTGCCTCCTGCAGGGAGGGGCCGTTTAAGCCTGATCTGATGATCCTACCGCCCGGGACTTGCAGCTCCCGCCATGAACTGGCACTCCTGCTCTAGACTGATAGTTTCTATACCGCCCAGATTCATTCCACTCAAACCCCTTAACAACATGGGCCGTTCGTTGGAGCCAAGCTCCAAGCATGCGACATTCAAAGACGCGCCTCGTCTCGCTCTCATGTCTCATGTGCATCATGCGAGAAACAAATTCATACCAAACTCGGGGCACATACAACTACTTACATTATGGCCGCGACACATGACTGCGTTGCGCACACCGCAAGATCCAAATTTATGCATCTAGCCGATTATTCACACAACTCCCACGACAACTTGTATGGCGTTGCGGTAGTTCCGCAAGGTGACATTCAATATCCCAGTCTACGCTGTCGATCCCTCGGGGAGCGCGGTCTCGCCACCGCTGTCGGGCAGCGAGACCCTGGTGTCTCCCAACTCTATCGCTCCCGAGTCCTGCTTGACTTCTCCGTCCTGCTGCTCCCGGCGCTCCCTTGCTTTCGCGGCCTCTTCTTCGAGCGCCATCTTCCGGGTGCGGCGTAGGACAAGGAAAACATTGTCACAAGAAGGGGCGGGGTGAGAATTCAACAGCACAATTTATTCCTTAATGTAAAAGTGGATCTTTTTTTTTATCACGGCCTTGACAATGCACCGCAAATTTCGATGTTGTTCTGGATCGAAGACTGCACGATCCTGACAAAAACACAGCCCTGAAAGACAACCCCTGTAGTCTTCGCCCATCACGGCAACCACCACATGCAAGATACATAATACATTTCGCTACACCTGCATCGACAGCGTCACAAACACTCAGTATCGCCAGAGCTGCAACTGACCTGTCTTCTGTCTTCTTCGTCCCTTTGCTCCCGCTTTTCGCGAATTTCGTCCGCCTCAAGTGCGTCGATAACGTACTGATACTTTGAATCGTTCAAGCCCAGCGTGTTGGCCACCACCTATGAGACAGAGCGATCGCATTTTTTTTCCGAGCGATACAAGAAACGATGCGCGTTACAGGAGAGTGAAAATGGTATGCACGCGCACGTACGGAGTCAGCTGGGTCCTGTGTGACGGCAGGCGTTTGGGAAACCAACACGTTGAAAAAAACTCGATGGGACGATAAGGCGCTACGGGTGGCAGCGATGCGGATCATGACAAGTGCTGTTCGGCAGCGTACATGAACAAAGACATTGGCCCATTGCAGGCTGTATCAAGAGTCGCATCTCGTGTACGGGAGGGCGGTCAAGACAGGACGAGTAACCGATTATTAGAGGAGCACATGCGCTCCATCAGAGGAAACGACCAATGCATCGAATCGAAGCGCTCGTAGCAGACTAGCGAATCAACGTAAAAAAAGGTTGGGTTCTGGCCGGAAGCGGGCAGAGTACCCCAGATATCCAAGGCTTGGGGAGGTACATAGGCAGCGGTGCGATCCATTGCACGACCCGAACGAGCTACAGCTTGCGCCAGGTTACTTCCTACCCTTTACCTCCCCAATTGCCTCCGCCCCTGCAACCGCTTTGACTCCTCCAAAGTGCAGCGAGTGTCGGATTTTTGCCCACCAGTCCACGTTGGGGTTACCCCCTTCCTCCCAAAAGTAAGGCTCCACCTGCATGGATAGAAACGAACTACAGTTGTCGAGGGGCGATTGCACAGCAGTCAAGCTAAGCCGCGGTAGAAAGCGCTCTCCGTGTTGCACATGAAATGTCACTGGAAAACCATCCCGCGTGAAGAAACCCGAACGTACCAACGATACAGACTGGATGTACCTCCTCCGCCCGTACCTCCGCCGCCCGCGAACAAGTAAATGAACTAAAACGTGTACTTGCTGTCACGGAGAGAGAGAGAGCGAGTGGGGTATCGCCATGGCCAACAAGGGGCACACACAAAACCCGTAACAGCTTAACTACTGTAGCGCAGCCCGCCGATGGCTGAACGTGGTAACTTTCGAGTGTTACGGGGACGTGTGTTCCCAAGCCAAGCCGACAGCAATCGACACTTATATCGTAGAACACCATCTGTAGCCTATAAAGGATGTAGTAGCTTGCGTTACGTGGTATCTGGCCGTGCTACAGCTGTATCTAACGATCATGAACCGCTCGGGGGATTCTCAGAGGTGAGGACCAGGAAGCTTTGGGCGATCTCCCGACCTGTGTAGGGGGGGTGCTACGGAGGGTAGAAGTGGCACCATCCCCAGGGTTTCCAACCAAGATCGACAGCTACTGGTTGCTGTGGAGATCGCAAAACACCTCCAGATCGGGATGGTCTCGGTCTTCCTAGATATCTGAAGCAAACATAACCGACCGGGTTGTGTAACCGACATCCAAAACTGACGCATGTGTTCCCAGCGACACTTCTAGGACACTTGAACTCTTGCCAGCGATCGTTTGATGTCCAGAATACCGTAAGGTTGCGAGTCAGCTATAGAGCACAGAGCACAGGGGTGCCATCGATTTTCAAAGCGTAAATTCTCCACAACCAGGAGGGTGCGAGCGCCAACTGATGCTTCTCAAGAAAGCTCTCGATGAGGTATTTCCAAAACCACCCTTTTCGACAGTGGTAACCTCCTGCTTGTGGAGAAATTACGCTTTGAAAATCGCTCGCACCCCTGTGCGCTGACTCGCAACCTTACGGCACCTAGTTTCTGAAGTGTTGATGTACACTATGCCTCCCGACCCACTCACCGGCTCCCCCTCTTGCCCGTCAATTGCTTGCACCGGGGCCGCCGCTGCCACTTCTATTGCAGGGGCATCCGCCACTGACATGATGCCCTGGTGCCTCCCTCTTTCTTGACGCTGCTACAATAATGTGTCGAGGGGCCTAAACAAACATACGCAAGGGGACCGACGGATAGAATGGAGTCGCAACACCTCCGAAGAGTCAAGCACTCGGATGGCGGCAGGACACAAAGGGGGCCGTATGTCTGTAATCGAAAGGACACAAAAATATCATTGATGGCCACACACAACTCGGCCAGATTGGCATGCTGTGCTGCGTGTACTTCAAAACTGCGAGTAGCTTGCAGCCTCGTCGAGGGCGAGGAGCGCCGATTCTCTCTTTCCTCCTTTGCACCGAATTTGTTGCAATCGGCGCGTCCACGGACGGTGGACAGGAATTGCTGTTGTTTAGTCTATTAATAGTTGTTCTCCAACTTTACTTAACAGCACTGCCGTAGCAAGAATACAATACCAGAGAGCAGAAAGGGATGAAGCCGCCATACAGCAGGATCCGCGACAACAGTACCTAAGCAATGGACGTTTATGATATGTTGTTGGCGGCGTGTTGATGTCGGACAGAAAAAACCGGCGGACAACCGACACACCAAACAAAAAATTCGGTCAAAATTCAACATCAACCTGCGTGTGTGTACTGAAAAACTGATGTAAAACTGCTGTACACAAGAGACAGGATCTCGCCGTCGCAATTGAACGCCATTCTCACCGTCAGTAGTAGCACGTTCAGCCCGCAGATCCTGAGATAAAGTTTGGACGGCGTGGATACAGCTGAGCAGCAGCAGGCAGGGCAGAGTGGTTCACACTCGGATTGCTGGTGTCCTTAGGGTGTGTCTGGTGTGCGGAGCGTTGGTCGTTGTTCGTTCCGGGGGTTGCGCGAATTCATATCAACGTTCTTGGAGGTATGCAAATCAAAGGATTCCAATGTAGGGTGCCTCCCGCGCTCCCCTGCGCCCGATTGGCCAGACCATTGCTGCCCACTGGAGAAGGGTTGCGCGCCGAGTGTGCTGCACTACCTGAAGCCTCATAAGGCGATATTTTGCATAGGGGCCTGTTCGACGTGTAATTTTCTCGAGAATTCTGGGGAAAGGCTTGGAGTAGAGGCGGCTGCTTTTGAAGACTCGAAGAGAGCCATGGGCGAGCGGGGGTACCAGCTCAAGGGAGCCAACAACAAGAAGGCGTGGGAGGAGTCGGACTTCCCGATCGTGTGCGAGACATGCCTGGGGGACAATCCCTACGTACGGATGACCAAGGAGCCGCACGGGAAAGCGTGCAAGATCTGTGAGAGACCCTACACCGGTACGCGCCGCTTTTCGTATTACAACGTGTGTGCACGAATAAGGATATTTCTCTGTTCAGATACACGGCACTTGTGACTGCAGGCCGACTCTCGTGGGTGAGGCACCCATGATCGCTGCCCCTCCAGCGCCCCCCTTGCGGTCGCTTTTTGCTGTCTCTGTGCGTCAAAGAAGAACGACGACTGTTGTGGTTTGACCCTTGCAATTGGCCGATGTTGTGTTGTATACCGCTGTTGTCTTCAAGACCGACTGGGATCGGCTCTGCGGTCGGTTCTTGGCCCCACCTACGCATTTAACAGTGTGGTGGCGGTGTGGTGTGTACAGCTAGCTCCGTCTGAGGCGGTTGCTCCTATCCGCGGCAGTGATGCGTCCATGCTATCAGGACATGAGTCACCTGAAGCATTATCCGTGTATATAGCCATAGCAGTACTGATGGCCGTGTGTAACAGGAAACGTAGGGAGGATGGGAGAAAAAGGAGGCGTGCTTGTGCGACACTGTTGCTGTTGGGCCCAAGCTGTTGGGCCCAACAGGGCGGTGTCGCACAAGCACGCTCCCATTGCTCCTGTTGTGTGGCTCCTGTTGTTTTTTCGGTTGAGATCCGTCTCAACGACTGCCAGCGTATAGCTTCAAGATTTCTTGAGACTTTGTTTTGTCCCCAACTGGTGGCGTTGGGGTCTTAGCGTCCAGAGTTGGTGAGCGCGCGAAGGATTTGGTAAATGTAAATGTCTTTCGGTCCGACTTGAATTGAGGAGAATATCACAGACGAGAGTCCCCGTTGCTGAGGGCCCACCCTCCCAGCGGCGCTTACCTGAGCTGGTCCGGTGTGAAGAGGTCGACAAGGGCGTTCCCTCGAGGGCGCGCACGGAACCACAGCCACAACAGTACTGCGCTTTCTACGATACGTCGGACGACCACCTCGCCATGTCCGCATAGCGGTAGCTGCAGTAGCAGAGTCGATGAAGTGAAGCCGATGACGTCGATGGCACGCCTTTGGTCTGGCTACTGCTGTTGTATTTGTGAGGATGATGGCAAGACTGCTGTGCCTGAATGTTTCCTTTCAAAAGCGTTCCACATGGTTACAAAATGTGATCTCCGCCGGTGCTCGTGCGTGTTGTTTTTGATCAGTTTTTCGCTGGAAGGCCGGGACAGCAGGGCGCATCAAGAGCACCCAACTATGCCAGACGTGTGCCAAGCTTAAAAACGCCTGCCAAACATGCGTCCTCGACCTGCAGTACGGTGAGTGCAGTGCAGTGCGAGCCAGGATTGCCGCATGCTGAGGATGTTATTCGATATCTTATACTTTCCAACATATGTTCGCACCTTCACTGTGGGGCAGTTGGTAGCCTGCGACCACGGAAGGCAGAGATCGGAACTGTTTGTAGTGTGCACAACAGCAAAAGCAACAGCAGGGACCAGGACAAAAGTTTGGGTCTCGAGCAATCTGTCACGGGGTCCTGTCACTCTTCCAACGCATAATAATATCTCCCGACTTTCGCATTACATCGGCCCGAGTGCCGACCTCGTGTGCTGTCCTTGGACTTGCATAAAACCGGACATGCATACGAGTACGCAGTGCCGTACGGGGGTCTCTCTTGCTGCCGCTGTCGAGCAGCTCGCCGTCTTGACTCCGTTGGCATCTGGCCTGCTCATCTCGAAACGCCCAAAACCAAAGTAATTCAGCAAACCTACCACCACCCCGCAATTATGCTCTTTTCCAGGACTGCCGGTGGAGGTGCGTGACAAGTTCCTCGCTGAGGAGGACAGGCTGGAAGTACCCGGCAGCGACGCTAACCGCGAGTTCATGACGCAGGTGCACGAGAAGCAGCTGGCGGAGGGCGGCAACCCCTACAGCAACAAGCCCCTAAACCAGAAGGTGAGCGTATTCGGGCTGGCAGGGTCGTCGTTGAAGAGTTTTGCGGTGGGGGATTCGTCGTCGTGCTCGTGGTCGTGATTGCGGGTGGTTGTTGGTTGTCTTGTTGGAAATGTTCTCGTCGTTGTCCAGCACCTTTTTTCCTCCCTGTTCTTGGGAACACTTTTAAGGTAGTCAAATCTTGAGGTCACAAGCGAACCAACGTGGCGCGAAATTTGTGTACTTGAGTATTTGATCCGCAGTAGGTCCTACTACTCCGTAAGATATGATTGTACCTACAGCAAGTCCAGGGAGGCAAAGGCACAGCGAGGAAAGGACACTCCCCCCTCCGGGTAAAACGCTGGGCCCAAAGCTCCAATTGGAAGCTGAGTCGCAACAGCATCCCCGGGAGTCCCGCTCGGAAGTCCATGTACCTCGATTAGCTTTCCTCTCACCCCGGTCGAAGCGGGGAGGCGTCCATTCGGGTTTGCCTTTACCAACCAGACCATCCCCACTTCTACGCCCTGGAGGTGTGACAAGGGCGCTGCGAGTCAGGTTTACACTAAGCGGATCACTAATATCCGCATACATCGTGCAAGACGGCAGTGGGGTGCTTAGCCCTAGCCAGTATCTACGCGAGCCCCTTTGCTACGGCAGGGAGTTCCCCCGCCCATTAATCGCCACGGCAACGGGCAAGGCGAAACCACATGTATAGCATCGACCTTCCCCGGATATGGACCCTACACCCTACAAATTTCTGTTGGGAATTTGCAGTGATGCATTCGTTTTTATGTTCAGTCCAATCGCGTATAGGTTGAAGGCCGCCGCACTGAATACTCCATACAGCATCCACGCACTAGTTTCGCCGCACGGTTACGCCCGTTTCACTGAGGCCACACATGCCCGTAATAAGATCCCGCACGCCTGGCTCACGAGCGAACGTAACGAAGCGAGGAGACACAAGGGGGGGCACGACTGCATGCAAGCACGGCGAACGATGAACACGCCGGATGGTACTTCTGTTCGAAAGAGGAGCTACGTTGCTGCCACAACCGCCATCATCGGAGCACTTGCGTGCGGGATTCTCGCCAGTAGCCAAACATACTCGTGGCGAAGCGGTCGGCGAGAGGATATAAACATACCGTATACCAATCGGTGGCATCGCCACCGCTTTACAGTACTGTCGTTCGGATTCTCACCAAAAAAACAATCTGCGGATGCCCGATCATGGCGACAGCCACCGAGAGCTTGCGCTTGTTTCCCCCGCTGTAAGAGCCTGCCAACTTATCGGCGTTGTGCCCAAGGCCCAGATCCGTGATCATCGTGCTGGCGGCCTATTCGACCTCCGCGGCCGGTATTCCCTGCATCGTGAAACATCGCATGGCATGCCGCATGGTCTTATGTCACAGGTGTATGAAAACAGAGCATGGATGTGTCCAAACGTCGCTTGATTTCATATTTAAACAGTTAAATAGACAAGGACTCCCTGGCGGGAGGGGAGATGCTGATGTTTGGCAAAAGGTATATGACACGATTCCAAGCCGCACCTTGATGGCAGCATACAGCCTGAGGTGTTCCCGGCCGGTCAAGGTCTCGAAAAGGGCGTCGAACTGGGGGCAATAGCCCATAAGGCGGTGGATGGCTTCGGGTTCTTTACCGACGTCAGGTCCCCCTAACAGTTGAAGATTGTTTGATTGGTTCATGTGCTACTTGTCACGTCGGCAGATGGTCGATATTGAACTTCGTTTTTGTGCCGCCCCTTTTTTTGGTTCGCCTGTTTGTGATGCAGCTTCTCCGTATGGCCCGGTCAACGCCTTACTACAAGCGCAATCAGCCTCACAAGTGCTCCTTCTACGCCAAGGGAGAGTGCAACCGAGGCGCCAAGTGCCCTTTCCTGTGAGCTCTCAGTTCCATGCCCTGTTTTGGTGTCTGCAAAATGCAGTCGACGTTGCTGCTGGCCTCCATGGGCAACAGGTTTCGGCTTTGTGCTACGTATTGGCGCTGTTATCATTACTGGTTTGATTATTTTGTGTCAACTACTTCTGCATCACTGCCGCATGTATGAGACGAAGCGATCCTCCCATAGCTTGGTGGAAATGAGGCCACGACGGTGCAGTCCGTGTTTTCGTATTCGCCCACTGGCAAATCTACATCGCGTGATCTACGTATCTACATCGGCTGGCCGGCGTTACAGTAATATTACAATATTGCCGACCACCATCACAACAAACCGTCCTGAATACCAAGGAACACGTGGCCATCCGCATGCGTGACCGCTTATCGATTGTCTTCCCTTGGTCGCTGCATCTCTCGCTCGGCGCCATGAATTATGACGGCGGTTTACCGACTCGCCTATTGCAGGCACGAGATGCCAACCGACAGGGCGGACCCCCTGGCCCACCAGAACATCCGCGACCGGTTCTACGGCCAAGACGACCCCGTCGCGGCCAAGATGATGGCCAGGCAGGACGACCTCCCGAAGCTGGAGCCCCCCGAGGACGAGGGGATCAGCAGCCTCTGGCTCGGCAACATGGCCGACTACATCACGCCGGAGGTGATGCTGCTGCGTAGGGTTCGTGTGGTGATGGCGGTGTAGCTCGAGCTGCGCCTCTTGCTGCGGGCTCTGCTGTGTTGCCGGCGGGATTGGTTGTTCTACGTCGGCGATATGGTTGTGTTTTTCATGGTGGTGTAGCCGAGATTGCACGGTGTTTGGGAGGTCTTGTGGCGGTGTTGGCGGTACCTAGGGTTCTGGGTTAAGTGCGTTGCTGAAGCGTTGGCTGTGTTGGCAACTCCGGCACAAGGTCTGGGTGTTGACCTATTGACTACCACCTACGCAACTAACTGCCGGCGTTGCGAACGTTTCAAGAGTTCCAACGAAAACACATTTTTAAACAATGTTACCCTTGGTTGTGTTTCCGTGTCTTCTGTCCGTATGTACGCGGTAGCCGACTTGGCGTCAACGGCATTCGCCAGATCGCCACCACCTCCACCCTTGCGCGCGCTAGTGGTTTATTTTCTTGCGGCACCCTTCGAAATGAGCGCCCGGCAGCTGAAATATTCCGTGTTCCGTGTCTGAACCGTTGGACATGTGCAGTATGCAACGGCATGGACCAGACACAGCGACATTGAAGACGTCATTTCTGTTCACTTGTTGGAAAGAGGTAGTTGAGCGACACACTCACTCCTCGGCCATCGCCTTTCTCTGTTCGCAGGATCTTCGCGACGCTTTCTATAGCTTCGGGGAGCTCCGGTCCATCCGCATTGTGCCGGGCAAGGACTTCGCCTTTGTACAGTTCACCACCAGGCAGGCGGCAGAGGCGGCAGCTGAACAGCTCTACAAGGTATGTATGCACCACTCACTGCTCATTGGTATGGTGCAAGCGCATTCCACCAAATATGGCAGGGAGCGGCGAAAGTTCAACTCGGAGGTTTGCAGTGGATTTCCACACAGCAACGGACAAAAGCTATGCTATAGCCCCCTACCAGGCCAACTTCTTTTTTTTCTGAAGCAGCTCACGTCAAGGTGTTGCAACCTATTATTAATACTGTGGTGTCACCAACCCCCTCACAACGTCGTCTATTTTCTTGTCCTTTCCACACTCGAAACTCACCGCCTCACTTTTCTCATCCTTGCTCTTTTCTTTTCATATTCTCTCCCGCACGGCATTGCCGCACTTGCACGCATAAGTGCCTGGTAATCAAGGCTAGGCTGCTGAGGTTGAGGTTGGAGGTTGTTTCTTATCCTTTCCACAATCGAAACTCACCGCCTCATCCTTGCTCTTTTCTCTTCACACTCTCTCCCGCACGGCATTGCCGCACTTGCACGCATAAGTGCCTGGTAATCAAGGCTAGGCTGCTGAGGTTGAGGTTGGAGGTTGTTTCTTATCCTTTCCACAATCGAAACTCACCGCCTCATCCTTGCTCTTTTCTCTTCACACTCTCTCCCGCACGGCATTGCCGCACTTGCACGCATAAGTGCCTGGTAATCAAGGCTAGGCTGCTGAGGTTGAGGTTGGAGGTTGTTTCTTATCCTTTCCACAATCGAAACTCACCGCCTCATCCTTGCTCTTTTCTCTTCACACTCTCTCCCGCACGGCATTGCCGCACTTGCACGCATAAGTGCCTGGTAATCAAGGGCAGGCTGCTGAGGTTGAACTGGGCCACTCGCTCAGAGGAATCGGGGACGTCGGGCTTCAACGGCCCTGAAGGCGGCGGCCGCCGCAGGATCGAAAGCGGCAGCAGCAAGGCGAAGGAGGGTGGGCAGCAGCGGCAAGCTGCAGGCGAGGCGGGCGGCGTCGATGCCGGGGAGAGGTCGAAAGCAGGAGGCGCGGCGGGGGCGGAGGCGGAGAAGAAGGCGGAGGTGGCACCGTACCAGCCGGTCCCGCTGCCGCCGGTGCCAGGGCTGCCCCCGGGCGCCCCCGTCGCCCCCGTCCCGCACATGCCGCCCATGCCGCAGCTACAGGGGTACAGGCCGCCGCCGCCGTCCGCCTACCCGCAGCAGCAGCAGCCCGCGGTAGCACCGGCAGGACGGGGGCAGTACGCCCCGCCCCCGGGCCCCCGACTGCCGACGTACAACAACAACGGCGTCTCCGCCGGCCAACATCACCACACCCGAGGCCCCCCGATCCCTTCGTACGGCCCGGTGAGGGGCGGCGGCGGGGGCAGTTACGGCGGCGGCGGGAGGCGGGGTCCCCCGCCCGGTCCTCCGCCGGGGCCGCCCCCCGGCCCCCCTCCGGCGCCGTACTATGCTTCTATGGATCCGCACCGCTTGGGTGCGCAACCCACAAGGCCACTGCTGCCGACGCCGCCGCCTGCAGCCGCCCCGGGGGTCGCGTCAAAAAGCAGTTAGAAAAAAAGCAAATGATATGAGGGTGTGATTTGTTTACGGTGGCGGCTGGATCTGGGTTGGGTTTGGCAAGTACGGCCATCGTCACCCACCCCTTGGTCAACGATCATTTCTCCGTTGGGAGAAGGTAGGCGGGGGACACGTAAAAGAAAGGCTTTTGTGGCCGTAGTCAGCGAGTTGCTTCAGTAGCTGGGTTCTTTGATTCCAGGTGGTACAGGGTTGTACCAACTCAAGAATCTGTTTCAGTTGTCTCTGCCGCCGTTGCCTCGACCTCTGTGAAGTGCGTTTGTTATGCGTACACCACCCGAAGCACCATGAGTGGTTATTGGTTGAAATGTGTGCCAGTCAAATTTCAAGCTAACGCAGAGGGGACACCCCGCGTTCTTTCGATCGGCAGCCACTGCTTTCGTCTGTCCGCGGGGAGTAGGCTAGCGAAACACCTTTGTGTAGCAGGGCACACTGGACGCCGAGAATGAAACGAGTCGAGGAGGTTGTGAGTAGATCGTGTCTACACACCACGCTTGACGATTTTTGCAGTGTACTGTAGTTCCGTTGCCCGACACGTCTTTCGGGCGCGCGGGACGGCCCATCAGTCGCTACGAGCAGCACTTGGCGACAATTGTAGGTGTTTCCCGGTGTACTGGTCCGGTGAGAACACGGCGTGCTCCGTCCCGGCGTCTCAGGGATGCGAGAGATCATTGGTGCTTCTGTACGTATAGCAGTATCTCTCAACGGCGTAGTACACCCGACACAATTAAATGTCCAACCTGCGCTTGCCAAGCCGCAGTGGCAAAAAATTACGAAAAGTACGGCTGGAGTTGCGGTCGGAGAGCAACCCCCCCACCCACCCCCGAGCAAACATATGTGCCTGACGTTGCAGCAGCAATACTCCTTTTTTGTGGTGAGGATTTTCCTGGTGGAGCGGACGGGCGGAAGCGATGCCGCGTGAATGTCCAAAGATATATGGGTAGCACTTGCAAGGCAGCACGGCGATATTTCACGCGATTGCCCCACTAAGAGTTGGTTCCCACCACAAACTACAATAGGTGTTGTCGCGCATCGACGAGCGGCTCCCAACACTATGTAGGTTGGGCAACAACATGCGGCCCTACCCCAGACGACTTGATTGAGAGGTGCACCCAACCAAACAAAATACGAAGAAAATATGCCACAGCTCGACCGACGACGTACGTACCAGATAAAACCGACAGCAACAGGACGTTCGCGGTCGCTGCCTCCACGTTAGTTTCCTTTATGATTTGGTGTAGACAGAGCCAACTACGCTACAAATATTTCCTTTACTTCCAGGGATGAAAATACCTTCGAATCAACACACTATCGATAGAGCCAAATGGCTCGCCGTTCACCTTTCTTTTCGTCCGATTTCGTCGAATGAGTTACATGAATGGTGGCTTTACGATAGAAAGGTACAGTAGAGGTCCCTGTTTAAGGCCGCAAATCTAAGGCCGGTGGCCCTTTTTAAGGCCGGTGGCCCTTTTTACGGCCGATGAAATCGTCTGTCACACTTGCCTTCCTTTTTTAGGCCGCACACTCCCTTCTTCCCTCGCTCCTCGACAAGCTTTTGCTTAGACATGGGTTGTAGAGACACTGTTGCTGTTGGGCCCAAGCTGTTGGGCCCAACAGGGCGGTGTCGCACAAGCACGCTCCCATTGCTCCTGTTGTGTGGCTCCTGTTGTTTTTTCGGTTGAGATCCGTCTCAACGACTGCCAGCGTATAGCTTCAAGATTTCTTGAGACTTTGTTTTGTCCCCAACTGGTGGCGTTGGGGTCTTAGCGTCCAGAGTTGGTGAGCGCGCGAAGGATTTGGTAAATGTAAATGTCTTTCGGTCCGACTTGAATTGAGGAGAATATCACAGACGAGAGTCCCCGTTGCTGAGGGCCCACCCTCCCAGCGGCGCTTACCTGAGCTGGTCCGGTGTGAAGAGGTCGACAAGGGCGTTCCCTCGAGGGCGCGCACGGAACCACAGCCACAACAGTACTGCGCTTTCTACGATACGTCGGACGACCACCTCGCCATGTCCGCATAGCGGTAGCTGCAGTAGCAGAGTCGATGAAGTGAAGCCGATGACGTCGATGGCACGCCTTTGGTCTGGCTACTGCTGTTGTATTTGTGAGGATGATGGCAAGACTGCTGTGCCTGAATGTTTCCTTTCAAAAGCGTTCCACATGGTTACAAAATGTGATCTCCGCCGGTGCTCGTGCGTGTTGTTTTTGATCAGTTTTTCGCTGGAAGGCCGGGACAGCAGGGCGCATCAAGAGCACCCAACTATGCCAGACGTGTGCCAAGCTTAAAAACGCCTGCCAAACATGCGTCCTCGACCTGCAGTACGGTGAGTGCAGTGCAGTGCGAGCCAGGATTGCCGCATGCTGAGGATGTTATTCGATATCTTATACTTTCCAACATATGTTCGCACCTTCACTGTGGGGCAGTTGGTAGCCTGCGACCACGGAAGGCAGAGATCGGAACTGTTTGTAGTGTGCACAACAGCAAAAGCAACAGCAGGGACCAGGACAAAAGTTTGGGTCTCGAGCAATCTGTCACGGGGTCCTGTCACTCTTCCAACGCATAATAATATCTCCCGACTTTCGCATTACATCGGCCCGAGTGCCGACCTCGTGTGCTGTCCTTGGACTTGCATAAAACCGGACATGCATACGAGTACGCAGTGCCGTACGGGGGTCTCTCTTGCTGCCGCTGTCGAGCAGCTCGCCGTCTTGACTCCGTTGGCATCTGGCCTGCTCATCTCGAAACGCCCAAAACCAAAGTAATTCAGCAAACCTACCACCACCCCGCAATTATGCTCTTTTCCAGGACTGCCGGTGGAGGTGCGTGACAAGTTCCTCGCTGAGGAGGACAGGCTGGAAGTACCCGGCAGCGACGCTAACCGCGAGTTCATGACGCAGGTGCACGAGAAGCAGCTGGCGGAGGGCGGCAACCCCTACAGCAACAAGCCCCTAAACCAGAAGGTGAGCGTATTCGGGCTGGCAGGGTCGTCGTTGAAGAGTTTTGCGGTGGGGGATTCGTCGTCGTGCTCGTGGTCGTGATTGCGGGTGGTTGTTGGTTGTCTTGTTGGAAATGTTCTCGTCGTTGTCCAGCACCTTTTTTCCTCCCTGTTCTTGGGAACACTTTTAAGGTAGTCAAATCTTGAGGTCACAAGCGAACCAACGTGGCGCGAAATTTGTGTACTTGAGTATTTGATCCGCAGTAGGTCCTACTACTCCGTAAGATATGATTGTACCTACAGCAAGTCCAGGGAGGCAAAGGCACAGCGAGGAAAGGACACTCCCCCCTCCGGGTAAAACGCTGGGCCCAAAGCTCCAATTGGAAGCTGAGTCGCAACAGCATCCCCGGGAGTCCCGCTCGGAAGTCCATGTACCTCGATTAGCTTTCCTCTCACCCCGGTCGAAGCGGGGAGGCGTCCATTCGGGTTTGCCTTTACCAACCAGACCATCCCCACTTCTACGCCCTGGAGGTGTGACAAGGGCGCTGCGAGTCAGGTTTACACTAAGCGGATCACTAATATCCGCATACATCGTGCAAGACGGCAGTGGGGTGCTTAGCCCTAGCCAGTATCTACGCGAGCCCCTTTGCTACGGCAGGGAGTTCCCCCGCCCATTAATCGCCACGGCAACGGGCAAGGCGAAACCACATGTATAGCATCGACCTTCCCCGGATATGGACCCTACACCCTACAAATTTCTGTTGGGAATTTGCAGTGATGCATTCGTTTTTATGTTCAGTCCAATCGCGTATAGGTTGAAGGCCGCCGCACTGAATACTCCATACAGCATCCACGCACTAGTTTCGCCGCACGGTTACGCCCGTTTCACTGAGGCCACACATGCCCGTAATAAGATCCCGCACGCCTGGCTCACGAGCGAACGTAACGAAGCGAGGAGACACAAGGGGGGGCACGACTGCATGCAAGCACGGCGAACGATGAACACGCCGGATGGTACTTCTGTTCGAAAGAGGAGCTACGTTGCTGCCACAACCGCCATCATCGGAGCACTTGCGTGCGGGATTCTCGCCAGTAGCCAAACATACTCGTGGCGAAGCGGTCGGCGAGAGGATATAAACATACCGTATACCAATCGGTGGCATCGCCACCGCTTTACAGTACTGTCGTTCGGATTCTCACCAAAAAAACAATCTGCGGATGCCCGATCATGGCGACAGCCACCGAGAGCTTGCGCTTGTTTCCCCCGCTGTAAGAGCCTGCCAACTTATCGGCGTTGTGCCCAAGGCCCAGATCCGTGATCATCGTGCTGGCGGCCTATTCGACCTCCGCGGCCGGTATTCCCTGCATCGTGAAACATCGCATGGCATGCCGCATGGTCTTATGTCACAGGTGTATGAAAACAGAGCATGGATGTGTCCAAACGTCGCTTGATTTCATATTTAAACAGTTAAATAGACAAGGACTCCCTGGCGGGAGGGGAGATGCTGATGTTTGGCAAAAGGTATATGACACGATTCCAAGCCGCACCTTGATGGCAGCATACAGCCTGAGGTGTTCCCGGCCGGTCAAGGTCTCGAAAAGGGCGTCGAACTGGGGGCAATAGCCCATAAGGCGGTGGATGGCTTCGGGTTCTTTACCGACGTCAGGTCCCCCTAACAGTTGAAGATTGTTTGATTGGTTCATGTGCTACTTGTCACGTCGGCAGATGGTCGATATTGAACTTCGTTTTTGTGCCGCCCCTTTTTTTGGTTCGCCTGTTTGTGATGCAGCTTCTCCGTATGGCCCGGTCAACGCCTTACTACAAGCGCAATCAGCCTCACAAGTGCTCCTTCTACGCCAAGGGAGAGTGCAACCGAGGCGCCAAGTGCCCTTTCCTGTGAGCTCTCAGTTCCATGCCCTGTTTTGGTGTCTGCAAAATGCAGTCGACGTTGCTGCTGGCCTCCATGGGCAACAGGTTTCGGCTTTGTGCTACGTATTGGCGCTGTTATCATTACTGGTTTGATTATTTTGTGTCAACTACTTCTGCATCACTGCCGCATGTATGAGACGAAGCGATCCTCCCATAGCTTGGTGGAAATGAGGCCACGACGGTGCAGTCCGTGTTTTCGTATTCGCCCACTGGCAAATCTACATCGCGTGATCTACGTATCTACATCGGCTGGCCGGCGTTACAGTAATATTACAATATTGCCGACCACCATCACAACAAACCGTCCTGAATACCAAGGAACACGTGGCCATCCGCATGCGTGACCGCTTATCGATTGTCTTCCCTTGGTCGCTGCATCTCTCGCTCGGCGCCATGAATTATGACGGCGGTTTACCGACTCGCCTATTGCAGGCACGAGATGCCAACCGACAGGGCGGACCCCCTGGCCCACCAGAACATCCGCGACCGGTTCTACGGCCAAGACGACCCCGTCGCGGCCAAGATGATGGCCAGGCAGGACGACCTCCCGAAGCTGGAGCCCCCCGAGGACGAGGGGATCAGCAGCCTCTGGCTCGGCAACATGGCCGACTACATCACGCCGGAGGTGATGCTGCTGCGTAGGGTTCGTGTGGTGATGGCGGTGTAGCTCGAGCTGCGCCTCTTGCTGCGGGCTCTGCTGTGTTGCCGGCGGGATTGGTTGTTCTACGTCGGCGATATGGTTGTGTTTTTCATGGTGGTGTAGCCGAGATTGCACGGTGTTTGGGAGGTCTTGTGGCGGTGTTGGCGGTACCTAGGGTTCTGGGTTAAGTGCGTTGCTGAAGCGTTGGCTGTGTTGGCAACTCCGGCACAAGGTCTGGGTGTTGACCTATTGACTACCACCTACGCAACTAACTGCCGGCGTTGCGAACGTTTCAAGAGTTCCAACGAAAACACATTTTTAAACAATGTTACCCTTGGTTGTGTTTCCGTGTCTTCTGTCCGTATGTACGCGGTAGCCGACTTGGCGTCAACGGCATTCGCCAGATCGCCACCACCTCCACCCTTGCGCGCGCTAGTGGTTTATTTTCTTGCGGCACCCTTCGAAATGAGCGCCCGGCAGCTGAAATATTCCGTGTTCCGTGTCTGAACCGTTGGACATGTGCAGTATGCAACGGCATGGACCAGACACAGCGACATTGAAGACGTCATTTCTGTTCACTTGTTGGAAAGAGGTAGTTGAGCGACACACTCACTCCTCGGCCATCGCCTTTCTCTGTTCGCAGGATCTTCGCGACGCTTTCTATAGCTTCGGGGAGCTCCGGTCCATCCGCATTGTGCCGGGCAAGGACTTCGCCTTTGTACAGTTCACCACCAGGCAGGCGGCAGAGGCGGCAGCTGAACAGCTCTACAAGGTATGTATGCACCACTCACTGCTCATTGGTATGGTGCAAGCGCATTCCACCAAATATGGCAGGGAGCGGCGAAAGTTCAACTCGGAGGTTTGCAGTGGATTTCCACACAGCAACGGACAAAAGCTATGCTATAGCCCCCTACCAGGCCAACTTCTTTTTTTTCTGAAGCAGCTCACGTCAAGGTGTTGCAACCTATTATTAATACTGTGGTGTCACCAACCCCCTCACAACGTCGTCTATTTTCTTGTCCTTTCCACACTCGAAACTCACCGCCTCACTTTTCTCATCCTTGCTCTTTTCTTTTCATATTCTCTCCCGCACGGCATTGCCGCACTTGCACGCATAAGTGCCTGGTAATCAAGGCTAGGCTGCTGAGGTTGAGGTTGGAGGTTGTTTCTTATCCTTTCCACAATCGAAACTCACCGCCTCATCCTTGCTCTTTTCTCTTCACACTCTCTCCCGCACGGCATTGCCGCACTTGCACGCATAAGTGCCTGGTAATCAAGGGCAGGCTGCTGAGGTTGAACTGGGCCACTCGCTCAGAGGAATCGGGGACGTCGGGCTTCAACGGCCCTGAAGGCGGCGGCCGCCGCAGGATCGAAAGCGGCAGCAGCAAGGCGAAGGAGGGTGGGCAGCAGCGGCAAGCTGCAGGCGAGGCGGGCGGCGTCGATGCCGGGGAGAGGTCGAAAGCAGGAGGCGCGGCGGGGGCGGAGGCGGAGAAGAAGGCGGAGGTGGCACCGTACCAGCCGGTCCCGCTGCCGCCGGTGCCAGGGCTGCCCCCGGGCGCCCCCGTCGCCCCCGTCCCGCACATGCCGCCCATGCCGCAGCTACAGGGGTACAGGCCGCCGCCGCCGTCCGCCTACCCGCAGCAGCAGCAGCCCGCGGTAGCACCGGCAGGACGGGGGCAGTACGCCCCGCCCCCGGGCCCCCGACTGCCGACGTACAACAACAACGGCGTCTCCGCCGGCCAACATCACCACACCCGAGGCCCCCCGATCCCTTCGTACGGCCCGGTGAGGGGCGGCGGCGGGGGCAGTTACGGCGGCGGCGGGAGGCGGGGTCCCCCGCCCGGTCCTCCGCCGGGGCCGCCCCCCGGCCCCCCTCCGGCGCCGTACTATGCTTCTATGGATCCGCACCGCTTGGGTGCGCAACCCACAAGGCCACTGCTGCCGACGCCGCCGCCTGCAGCCGCCCCGGGGGTCGCGTCAAAAAGCAGTTAGAAAAAAAGCAAATGATATGAGGGTGTGATTTGTTTACGGTGGCGGCTGGATCTGGGTTGGGTTTGGCAAGTACGGCCATCGTCACCCACCCCTTGGTCAACGATCATTTCTCCGTTGGGAGAAGGTAGGCGGGGGACACGTAAAAGAAAGGCTTTTGTGGCCGTAGTCAGCGAGTTGCTTCAGTAGCTGGGTTCTTTGATTCCAGGTGGTACAGGGTTGTACCAACTCAAGAATCTGTTTCAGTTGTCTCTGCCGCCGTTGCCTCGACCTCTGTGAAGTGCGTTTGTTATGCGTACACCACCCGAAGCACCATGAGTGGTTATTGGTTGAAATGTGTGCCAGTCAAATTTCAAGCTAACGCAGAGGGGACACCCCGCGTTCTTTCGATCGGCAGCCACTGCTTTCGTCTGTCCGCGGGGAGTAGGCTAGCGAAACACCTTTGTGTAGCAGGGCACACTGGACGCCGAGAATGAAACGAGTCGAGGAGGTTGTGAGTAGATCGTGTCTACACACCACGCTTGACGATTTTTGCAGTGTACTGTAGTTCCGTTGCCCGACACGTCTTTCGGGCGCGCGGGACGGCCCATCAGTCGCTACGAGCAGCACTTGGCGACAATTGTAGGTGTTTCCCGGTGTACTGGTCCGGTGAGAACACGGCGTGCTCCGTCCCGGCGTCTCAGGGATGCGAGAGATCATTGGTGCTTCTGTACGTATAGCAGTATCTCTCAACGGCGTAGTACACCCGACACAATTAAATGTCCAACCTGCGCTTGCCAAGCCGCAGTGGCAAAAAATTACGAAAAGTACGGCTGGAGTTGCGGTCGGAGAGCAACCCCCCCACCCACCCCCGAGCAAACATATGTGCCTGACGTTGCAGCAGCAATACTCCTTTTTTGTGGTGAGGATTTTCCTGGTGGAGCGGACGGGCGGAAGCGATGCCGCGTGAATGTCCAAAGATATATGGGTAGCACTTGCAAGGCAGCACGGCGATATTTCACGCGATTGCCCCACTAAGAGTTGGTTCCCACCACAAACTACAATAGGTGTTGTCGCGCATCGACGAGCGGCTCCCAACACTATGTAGGTTGGGCAACAACATGCGGCCCTACCCCAGACGACTTGATTGAGAGGTGCACCCAACCAAACAAAATACGAAGAAAATATGCCACAGCTCGACCGACGACGTACGTACCAGATAAAACCGACAGCAACAGGACGTTCGCGGTCGCTGCCTCCACGTTAGTTTCCTTTATGATTTGGTGTAGACAGAGCCAACTACGCTACAAATATTTCCTTTACTTCCAGGGATGAAAATACCTTCGAATCAACACACTATCGATAGAGCCAAATGGCTCGCCGTTCACCTTTCTTTTCGTCCGATTTCGTCGAATGAGTTACATGAATGGTGGCTTTACGATAGAAAGGTACAGTAGAGGTCCCTGTTTAAGGCCGCAAATCTAAGGCCGGTGGCCCTTTTTAAGGCCGGTGGCCCTTTTTACGGCCGATGAAATCGTCTGTCACACTTGCCTTCCTTTTTTAGGCCGCACACTCCCTTCTTCCCTCGCTCCTCGACAAGCTTTTGCTTAGACATGGGTTGTAGTGAAGGGGGGGGTCTTTCTGGCGAGCAGGGCTAGATTCACCCTCAAGGGATGACCGAAACCTTCTTGCTGCTGCGCATATCCGCCGCGAGGCATGCGCGTGGTGGTGTAGTTGGGTCGGCACTGATGGGGTCAGGCGAAAAAATGTAGATGCGCGGGCCTCTGGCCGTCGGCGTAGGCAGCGATGCCCATCTCATTTTTTGTGCGCGGAGGCAGACACCGTCAGAAGGTGGACGGG